TTACCTCTGCCCTCCCTTCACCCCCTCCTCCCCTCCCTATCTACAAACACTTTATTTTCATCTTTTCATTCTCTCACATTTTTTTCTTTTCCCTTTTTACTCTTCCCCTACCCATCCCACCTTCCCTACACCTTTAGCTCCTTTCTTCCCATTTCTAAATGTCAGTAATCTTATTAGAATCTTATGCATTGTTGCAGATTATTCACACCAGGGAAACTATTCGGTATTTACACATGTGTGACTTATTTATTTCACTTAGGAGTATATCTTCAATATGTATCCATTTTCCTATGAATGAATCTATTTTCTCGTTCTTTATGGCTGAGTAATATTCCATTTTATAGAAAAACCACATCTTCTTTATCCAGTTTCCAATGGATGGGCAAATAGGCTGTTTCCAAGATTTAGCTATTACAAACTGTGCCGCTATAAACATGGGTGCACATACTTCTCTGTGATATGATTCTTTTAGTTCTCTTGGAAAGATACCCAGCAGAGGGATGGCTGGGTCAAATGGAACCTCCAGTCCAAGCTCTTTGAGGTATCTCCATATTGATTTCTATAGTGATTGCACCAGTCTGCACTCCCACCAATAATGGAGAAGGGTTCCTTTCTCCCCACATCCCGGCCAACATTTGTTATTGTGTGATTTCTTGATAGCAGCCATTCTTTGTGGGGTGATGTGGAATCTCAGTGTTGTTTTCATCTGCATCTCTCGAATGACCAGTGATGTGGAACATTTTTTCAAATATTTTCTTGCTGCTTTTACTTCTTTGTCTGAGAAATGTCTATTCATTTCAGATGCCCATTTTTGAATCAGGTCTTTATATTTGGGGGGGCTGATTGTTTTGAGTTCTTTATATATCCTTGATAATAGTCCTTTGTCTGAGGAACAGCTGGTAAAAATTTTTTCCCACGTTGTGGATTGTCTCTTAGTTCTGCTGATGGTTTCTTTTGAAGTACAGAAGCTTTTTAGTAAGATGAGATCCCAGTTGTTGATTCTATCTGCTAGTTCCCGTGCTACTTAGGATTTGTTCATAAAGTCTTTTCCTATACCAATGTCTTCCAGAGTTCTGCCTAACTTACCTTCCAGCAAGTTTAATGTTTCTGTTTTAATATTTAGATCTTTAATCCATTTGGATTTTAATTTAGTGCATGGCGAAAGATAAGGGTCTAATTTTAATTTGTGGCAGGTCAGCACTCTCTTTTTACTGCAGCAGAATCACTCACCATCCCCAAAGACAATAGCTCAAGCTGCCTCATTCAATCCTAGCATCAAGCTCAAAGCTCAGTATCTCAGGGGTCTTAGAAGAGACCCTTTATAATTCTCCCATTCACGAAAGGGAAGGGAGGTATACAGCAAGGTGCTTTGACTGCTGTTCTTCTACTCCTTTCTTTCTTTATTTCCTCCTTTCCTCCTCTTCTTTTATAGTATAGGGGATCAAACCCAGGCCCTGTGCATCATAGGCAAGTGCTCTACCACTGAGATACATCCTCAGCCTTTTAGAATTTCTTCTTTTTCCGGCACAACTGAGTACAACTGGGTACAACTGAGGTGGTCAGTAGGGAGTAGATCCTAGTTGGGGGCCAAGCAGTTTTCTCTGGTAGCTCATGTAGAAAATTGGAATTTAGTGGTTGTTTTAAATATTCAGTAATCATATGTGGTATGGTAAAAAATAGGAATGTTTAAATTTTTAAAATTCATCACAATAAAAGACATATTGATTGTTTTTAATTCTTTTGGAAAGGTACCCAGCAGAGGGATGGCTGGGAAAAATGGAACCTCTAGTCCCAGCTCTTTGAGGTATCTCCATATTGATTTCCATAGTGGTTGCACCAGTCTGCACTCCCACCAACAATGGAGAAGGGTTCCTTTCTCCATACAACCCCGCCAACATTTGTTATTGGTTGATTTCTTGATAGCAGCCATTCTTTGTAGGGTGAGGTGGAATCTCAGTGTTGTTTTCATCTGCATCTCTCAAATGACCAGTAATGTGGAACATTTTTTCATACATTCACTTGCTGCTTTTACTTCTTTGTCTGAGAAATGTCTGTTCATTTCAGATGCATTTTAGAATCCCATTTTAGAATTGGGTCTTTATATTTGGGGAGGGCTGATTGTTTTGAGTTCTTTATATATTCTAGATAGTAGTCCTTTGTCTGAGGAGCAGCTGATAAAAATTTTTTCCCACATTGTAGGTTGTCTTTTAGCTCTGTTGGTGGTTTCTTTTGCAGTGCAGAAGCTTTTTAATAAGATGAGATCCTAGTTGTTGATTCTTTCTTCTAGTTCCCGTGCTACTGAGGATTTGTTCATAAAATCTTTTCCTATGCCAAAGTCTTCAAGAGTTCTGCCTAATTTATCTTCCAGCAAGTTTAGTGTTTCTGTTTTAATATTGATTGTCATCAGTCTCCCTCAAAATACTCTCTTTTATTTCCAAAAGGCTTACATAGCATCATTTTTGCCACTTTCCAAGGCAGTTCTGGATATCTTCTTTTGTGCCTTTAGTTGTACTGTCTTGGCTGCCTTGATTTCCTGAATCAATTCAAAATGTTTACCTTTCATGGTCATTTTGACTTTGAGGAAGAGCCAGAAGTCACAAGGTGCCATCTCTGGTGAAGAAGGTGGATTCGGACACATTGTAATGACCTTACTAGCCTTTCTTTCTGTTCGATGGCATTTGGAAACAACATTCAAACTTTTTTTTCTTTTCTGTCAATATTGGGGATCAAATCCAGGGCTTCACTCATTTTAGGTAAGAGCTCTGCCACTGAGGTATATCCCTAACCCTCAACCTTATTTTTGATCACCCTTTATAAAGACGCTCACAAAAGAGGACTGCCAATTCTATTTCTCCAAGAGGCAAGAGTGATGGCATAAGTGTATTTGAATTGGTAGGGAATATTTTGACGTGGATTAATGAAAATGTGTCTTGTACTGTAATAAATTTTTAAAAAATGTAAACATTCACCTATATACTGTTCACCCCTTGTAGTCCTCTTTTAATCCAGTGGTATTCTTTACAGTGCAACTCAAAAAAGTTTTGTTGGTTTCTTAACTATTTGACTTCAGTTTCCGGTGTCAATAGCAAGACTTGCAATTTTTGCCAGACATAGTTCTTAAATTTCCATCCATTTTTCATCTTTTTTTTTTAACTTCAGTGCGTACTTCCTTCCCCATTTATTTGAGAATATCTTTGTTACCAAGCTTTAGTTAGAGATTTAACACCTTTATTCTCTTTCCTGAACCATTTCATCCCCCAAAAGAACATATTGTGTGCTGTGTTAGTCTGTGCTTCAGTTTTACTGTCAGGTCTGATGGCTGTACTTTTGATCCTTAAGTAAGGTTGAGTTTTTCATCAGCTGTTGGTCTTTCAGAGGCATTCTTAGTTTTATGTTTGTTTTGTGTTGAGAAATGGTTGCCTTGTCCCAATCTTATATATCTTTTTTTTTTTTTTTTTTTTTGTTTATTGGTCCATTTTAGGTATACAGTACAGTTACATTCATTGTTGGGATCTTGTACCTTTACATGACAAGTCTTGGTTCTCACTTTTTTCCCCTTGTCCCTGCCCTCCCTTCACCCAATCTTATATATCTTTTAATTTGAGCTCTTATATTAGTGCTTGCAACTCAACCAATTCTTTTCTGATTTTATATTTTTCTTCTGTGGGTTTTTCTTTATCTTATTCAGTTGCTTTTTTTTTTTCATTTGAGTTCTCATCTTTTTCTTTCGTATTTTCATCACATCTTGTTTTTTTACCAGTTTCATAGAAGCCCTGTATCCTTGTATTCTAAGGAAGGTGTCAAATGATTTTCAGACTTTTTCTTTTACCTCTGTCACCATATCCAGCAAACTCTTTCTTTGAGGATTTCACTGGATGTTCATTTTCTTTTGCTGGAATTTTTCTTTTCTTTTTTTTTGCATGACTTTTTTTTTCCTTTTTTTATTCTTTTTAAAAGTGAAATCTGCCAGTTATGTTTTCTGCTAACAAATGTTGGGATTAATACCTTGAGTCTACAGCTGAGGTCAGGATAGCATAGGCAAATCCAAGTACAATTCTTAGCTTTTGGATTAAATATTCTTTTGATTATTTTTGGTATAAATATATGAAAACTAAATATATATGATTATTTTGGGGCAGAATATATGAAAACTAAAATATGGAATGCTTACTACTATGAGGATTCTTCCTTTCCCTGCTTAACAGGGATTATCCTTAGAATATAGTGTGTCCTTCAGCACTCTCCAGTTTTCTTCCCAGTTTTCTAGAATTTTTTTACCTTGCTAGAATGTAAGTGGGAGACGTATAGGAGAATTTGTGTGTGTGTGTGTGCGTGTGTGCACATGTACATTTATGTACTGGAGTCAGTATATAATAATCTCAACACAACGGTCTCTACTGGTGGGGATTTAAAGTTAGCTGCAGTCTCTGAATCAGGAAACCCAGTAGTGGATTGTTTAAAGTGCCTTCTTTTTATATATGGCCTTAGTTTTATGAGGCATTAGCTAGTTATGGCATGACAAAAAATTGGGACAGGTTTTTGTGTTTGTTTTCCTTTTTTCAAACTAGTGTTTATTATTAGTAAGAACCTTCCAGATTGTGGTGTTAACTGTTGGTTTTAGTTTTACATGGAATGATTTCTTTAAAAATTATTTTCTGAATCTTCAGAGATAGAAGTTGCACTGTAGATTTCAAGGCATACAGGATGTTAGACTACAAGTTCATGTACCTTAATTTCTAGCATTGTCTTCTGATACCTTACAGAAGGCTCATGATTTTAAGTCTGACAATAAAATTCCTAAGAGTAATCATTGAGGTATCTTTTTTTCCCCTACACTGGGCCTCAAACTCAGGACCTTGTGTTTGCCAGGCAGGGATGGTGCCACTGAGCTATATCCCTGTCCCTCAATGAGGTATCTTTATGTTTGTGTTTTTACTAAGAGGCGTTAAGAGTTTTACAGTTTAATCTGAGTTTGACATAATATGGCATTTCTTTTCCAGATATCAACAGTGGCAGCAGCAATGTTTCACTTCTTCCGAAAGCCTCCAGAGTCTAAAAAGCCTTCAGTGTCAGAGATAGAAGCAGATGGATTCGTCCTCTTAGGTAAGCCTTTTTAAGAAACAAAATCATAACTAGATAAATTTTTTTAAATGACTTGATAATTACACGATTTTTAAATTATTTTTTACTAATTTCAGAATGAATTTATATATGTAATTTCAAATGAAATCTATAAAATAAAGAACTTCAATTGCTTAGAATATTGTCATCAAATCACATTCTTACATGTTAGTTTGTATTTCTAATTAAATTTGTAAAATTATACCTCATCTGATAGATTAGTAAATCTTAACTGTGGAAAACAGAGTTGTGAAGAATCCTTGATGAATTCAAGTTTGGTCTTATAAATAGTATTATGATTCCTAAAGTAGTATCTAAAATTAAGTTGGTCTTCCATTAAATATTTACTGATGTAAACTTTTAATTTAAATTTCTTAAACAGTGTCTTCTAATGTTTTTAAGAACTGCTTTATTATCCTGCCTTCTTTCTTTTTCTTTTCTTTTTTTTCTTTTTGGTATAGGGTTCAAACTCAGGACCAGCTAATGAGGCTTGTACAGTGCCACTGAGCTAAATCCCTGGTCTCAAGAACTACTTTCCTATTTTAACTGTTAAATATTTAAAAGAATATAAATCTAAAATTTATTTTTTATTTTAATTTTAAAGGTTTAAAAGATTATAAACCGATCTGCTAATTGTAAAGATTGTGGTGGCTTTAAAAATATTTATTTCAACCAAATACCTTGTACTCTTTTTTTTGGTACGGGGGATTGAACTCAGGACCTTACGCTTGCCAGGCAGTTGCTGTGCCACTGAGCTAAATCTCCAGCCTGCCCCTGTACTCTTCCTCAAGAGAATTCTGAAAAGTTAAATTACTTCTGTCATTGTATCTTCTTGCAAGGAAGAGATTCACAGCTTTTGTATGTTCTTCCCGTGATTTGTCTCACCAGACAGGATAATGCAGAGGAGCCAAGCTCAGTGTCCCCATCTTGTACTCATCCTCATACACTCTGGATCTTCTACTAAATTCCTGTTCCTTCTTTTAGAAGATTTGCATTAAGTCACACTGGTGTTCACTTCCTAAGATCTCCCTTTTCAGATACAGTGAACCCTTCCTTGACTTATGAATTCAGTCAGTTTCTGAGGGCTGGTTGTAAATCATTACAGCTGAGATCTGGATATTTACCTGGGTACATGCTGTAGATAACAAGAGGCAAATGAATCTTCCATTAACCTAATTAGTGCAAGTTTTTCCTATGTCAGGCTGGTCATAACTTGAGGTCCACTGTACTGATTTCTTACCTCACACTTCCCTTATCTTGGCCAAGTCAGCAAATGCTCTGTATCCCTCAAGAAGTTGGAGGTGGCTTTTTAGAATTTAATAGTGACCTTGAATTTACAGCTTCAGTTCTGTCACGCTTCCTGTCCCCTTACAGCCAGGGCTCCTCTGTATCTCTGACTTCCACACGTTCAGGAGAAGTAGGATTGGGCGGGTCTCTTCTTTGTCGGATCTCTTACAGAATCTAGTCTTGCAGAGAGGACACTTGGGTTTTTCCTCTTCCATTTTTTGACCATGATCTCTGGAAGACCAGAATAGCAGTTCTCATGGATAAACTATACTGTAGAATCTTCTATCCTTTTCACAGCCCAAAGTGCTGCTTTTTCTAAGATCTCCAATTTGAGGTGGCCTTGAGCAGATGTTCACTGCCTGCCTTACAGCTCCTGAGTAGAGGCCTGGTTTCCAGGGCCTCCTGCCTCAGTAGATGAAGTTGATCTGCTGTGGACTTCTTTTACTTTGCCAGGGAATAATTGTGGTTTAAGAAGTTGTCTTTAACATACAACTTCATACAGACTTCCAGATTTGCCATTTAATGAGGGAATTTCCAAGATTTAATTACTCTAACATGTTCTTGTACCAGCTGCTCTGTTTGATGTATTGACACTCTAATGGTCTATTTTTCCAGAAATTCACATGCTGTATTTTGAGGGAGTTTGCCCAGGACCATTTGTACTGAGCAGGACTGGTATTGTATTCACACTGTATGTCTAGCAGTTGGATGGTTATGTGAGGAGTCTGCTTCCACTGTAGTTCCAGGAGAACAGTTTGATTTGTAGTGTAGCTCGAGCTACACTTTGAAATGATCCTAACAAGACAGGTTTTCCTGGTGACCACTGAGACTCCTATTCCCTCAGCCGCTGTGTCTGCCGATGCTTCTCTTGCTGGTCCTATTTTTCTCCCCAAGTAGAAAGCTTCACCCCTCACCATTTTTCATGAAAAATCCTTGAGCATCTCATGTTTTGTGGACTTAGTTAAGTCTCCTGAAGTTTTCCTGGTGTCGTTCTGATCATCTCTGGACTCCCATTTCCTCCGACTTTTTGCATTAGTCACACCAGGAGGATATCGGAGGCTGTGCAGTGAAGTGTTGATGAGAGCGGTGACCATGGATCTGGACCTCTTGAGCTGACAGCCTCACTTCATAATGTGCTAGAGTTTTTGCTGTTTAACTTAAGTTGAGGGCATATGGTGTGCATTTTTTAGTTAGTTAAAAATCCTTCAACAGTTAAGGATTTGAATTGACTGATTAAAGTCCTGACAGATGATTAGGAATATGGTTATTTGTCTTTTAAAAATTGTATGGTAAGCTCTTTTTTTGAAAAGTTGCCCTTTTTATCACCTGATTGTATAATGACCTACACACTATCTATCTTAGTCTCAGAGGACACCGTGAAAATATTTTGGAAATGTCAAGCAGATTGAATGAATATGAAATACATATGAAATACTTTTAAGACTTACATTATTAACATAATACCATACTTGCACACATATATATTGGCTTGCATATATCCACATAATTTTTCAGGCCTAGAGTGCAATAAATATATTACCAGAAAATCACTATATGATTGGTTTTGTGTGTTTATTGTCTTTTAAATGTTACAACAAAATAAAGACTTAAAAATTTAGTTTTATTTGTAGCAACAACTTCTTACTGTAACAAATTCTGTAGAGTCCACACCGATAAGAAATGTTGAAGTTGTTGTATTATCCCATGTGGCCTTTATAACTTATTTCTAAAAAGGTTGTAGTAATTATGTTGAAGCTGTACATAATCTTTGTTCTACAAATACTTTGTCCCTTAGGCCAGTGTTCCTGCTTAACACTAATAGGTTTATAGATCACAATTATTAGGTGGCATTGCTGAGTTGATAAAGTTGATATATGATGACTTGAAATTCAAGCTACAGGTAGAACCTGGGTGGTTTTCTTGGTAATGTGAATATCAGAGCTGTTTATATGCAATTAGCTCATGTTTGGATGGAAAGCCTTTCTTCCTGTTTAGATTTTTAAAGCTTCTAGCCTTTGTAAAATGTCTTGGTGTGCTGAATATGAACAGAGAGGGAGGGTGACCTGGCAGAAAAACATCCTTTCCCTTGTAACCAGTTTCTGTTCACTTAAGAAGGTAATAGCTGTTCGCTCATTCAGTAATGAAGTTTAAGTAATCCTCCAGGGTGTTCATTTTACACAAAAACAAATTGCAGTTTTCATTTACATCACTGGGTGGCGATTTTTCATAGTGTTACGCTACTATTTAAAAACCCAGCAAGCACAACACTATTTGTAATTACCAGCATTTTCTTCTGTTATGACATGTTTAATTGTACTTTTAACACATTATCTTTAAGTTGACTGCAAATTTACTAGCGCAGTGTGGAACCTCATAGTTATTTTAAATTAAGAAAGGATATTGCCTAGAAGTTGGCATATAATTCCTTCCAAAACCAAATCAAAGACATAAATTATTATTTTATAGTAAAAATAACAAAATCATAGGATATGAAATGAAAAGGATAATTTAGATTCTTGTTACTGAATTCACTAACACTGTTGAGCAAATATTGAATTGAAGTATGGAGCAGTTAGAACGAAATTGGGCAAGCGCTGTTGGGGAGATGAAAGGAACTGGGTTAATGTGCAACTGAAGTTCATCGTGTTTGTCAGCATGTGCAGGTGCTGCATAAGTAGGGCACAAGAACATTTAGTGTTCATTAAGTTGTAAAACTCATTGAATTTAGAATCAGTTTAGTAATTTACAGCAGTTCATGTTTCATCTTTTAAGTATTGACATTGAAACATGTAATTTTGTCTCACTTCTGTTTTCAAATTTAAATGATAAATCAGATTTTGTGAAGTAGTGTATTATTTTTAAGACTTTGGAAAGTAGTGTGTTATTTTTAAGGTTACATTCCTCATTCTGAGAATTGAAAAATATAGACGTATTTCAGTTAAACTATCACATTTTTATTTAGAACTTTTGAAGGTAATTTCTTCATCTCTGTGTTATTTGTTTTATTTAAAAGTGAAAACTCCTGGGGATTTAGCTCAGTTGTTCTGCTGCCTGCTTTGCAAGCACAAGGTCCCAAGTTTGATCCCTGCTATTAAAAAAAAAAAAAAAAAAAAAAGTGAAAACTTAAACTAGGAATAGAAGTCCTGTTTGACCCAGGATCCCTCTTCTGGGTATCTTTCCACAAGAATTTAAAGAATCATACCACAGTGATATATGCACACCTATGTTTATAGCGGCACAGTTTGTAATAGCTAAAACTTGGAAGCAGCCCACTTGCCCATCAACTGGAGACTGGATAAAGAAGATGTGGTTTTTCTATAAAATGGAATACTACTCAGCCATAAAGAATGAGAAACTAGTGACATAGCTAAATGGATGCACACTGAGCTCATATGCTTAAGTGAAAGTAATAGGACACGTGTAAGTACCGAATAGTTTCTTTGGTGTGAAAAACTAAAAGTGTAAATAAGGTTCAAATTGTATAATTGATAATGTGAAATAGGAAAAAAAGGTCTAAAGGAATAGGGCAAGTGGGAAGAGTAGGGGAGGGGAAAGAAGGGAAAAGAAAAAATAGGAGAAAAGGAAAAATGGAAACAAAGTCTTTGTAAATAGGAAAGGATGGAGGAGGTGAAGGGAGTGGGAAAAAAATAAGAACCAAGATACATCATATAAAGGTACAAGATCCCAATGATGAA